CTCTAGTCCGGGCAACACAGTGAGACTCTGTCTCAAAAAAAAAAAAAAGAAAGAAATAACTCTATACTAACTATATATTTATTCAGAAAGAAATGAACATTTTTGTCTATATTCAAATTAATACAAGAAAAATTTTAAACTTTGGGTAAAGCAAATAATTACAAACCTGTATAAATTGATGCTCTTTATTAAATTCTTCTTCATCTTGTGCAATCAAATCAAATGCTTCAGCTTAAAAAAAGAATAGGTTTATATAATTACATTATGCTAATGCCTATTTAAACACTAGCACACAAATATAACTTAGCTAATTAGGAAAATGAAAAACTAAGGAAATAAAATTTTCCCAAGTATGTGAAAGCTTCCACTCACATGACTGATGCATCTGTATCACATGCTTAAGTCTGTGGTTGTCAAACTTCTACTAACGAACACCTTGCTGTGATTGATTTTATTACTTAATAACTTGCCCTAAAATTTACTTCAAGGGCTTCACGACATAAGCTTTTTATTTTTAGAAGATTCCAATTAATTTTACCTTTGAGTTTTGCACTCCTGAGTTTAGGTACTCGCCCATGAATACTCGTGGAATTTCATCTGGAACCATCAGATTGACAAGCCTCGCTACAAGCTCATCATGCAGATGGTCTGCTAGGGTGCCCAAGCACCCATTTGCCCAGGATTATCCCAGTCTTAGAAAGTCCCATGTCCCAGGAAACCCCAGTCTGGGCACACAGAGACTGGTGGTCACCTAATGTCTGCACAGTTCCTGCTGAGCACCTCAGCTCCCCATGGAGAGAGGAATGTCAGCTGTTCCCACACTATAAACCTCTCTGCCAAAGGCCACACAGTAAAATGCCTCACAGGCCAGGGGTAAGTGGGCAAAGAGGGCCAGGGCCAGCGTAACACACCAGGAGTGGTGAGATACTAGCAAACTGGGAGGCATGAGAACCGTGAGGCATTAGGATTGCAAGAATTGAACTTGTTTGCTAAATCAGAAAAGTCTGCAGGCTGCACTTCAGATTGCCTGCCTGTGGTCCACTCTAGGCCCCTGCCTTACACTGCAGGGATGGAGCAGAAAGAGGAAGAGTGAATGGCAATCTGGAAGGGATAGTCCACTCATGGAGCAAACAAGAGAGAAGTTCCCTACTCTCCTGTGTCCATCAGGGCCTAATCAGACCCACCCTGCCCTTCTGGGACCACAATTCCACATTAACAACCTAAGATACAGAAAAAATTAGCCAGGCATGGTGGCGTGCACCTGTAGTCCCAGCAACTCGGGAGGCTGAGGTGGGAAGGTTGACCGAGCTCAGGAGTTCGAGACCAGCCTGAGCAAGAGTGACTCCCCATCTCTACTAAAAACAGAAAAACTAGCCAGGCATCATGGCGCACGCCTGTAGTCCCAGCAACTCGGGAGCGTGAGGCAGGAGGATGGCCTGAGCCCAGGAGTTTGAGGTTGCTGTGAGCTAGGCTGATGCCATGGCACTCTAGCCCAGGTGACAGGGCAAGACTCTGTCTCAAAAAACAAAAACAAAAAACAACCTAAGAAACAAAATGAGAATGGACACAGGATAATATCTCCAGTCAGGAAGAGTAGAGCACCAAAGACAGCTCAGGATTCTTACCTGTCAGAACAGTGCTAATTCTTTACCTTGTGAAGCGATCGTTTCTTATGTAAACACACTCTTAACCTACAGCAGCAGTCCCCAACTTTTCTGGCACCAGGGACCAGTTTCACGGAAGACAATGTCTCCATGGAAAGGGGGGAAGGAGGTGGAGCTCAGGCAGTGATGTAAGCAATAGAGAGTGGCTATAAATACAGATGAAACTTTGCTCACTTGCCCCGCTGTTCACCTTCCGCTGTGAGGCCCAGTTCCTAAGTTTCATGATAGACAATTTTTCCACGGACAGTGGAGGGGTGGGGATCCTGGGCATTGGAGGCCACAAACCTACAGCATAGATTCTATGAATGAGCACTGGGAGAACCATGAAGTCCTTGAAACTACATGCAAAAACATATATTCCACATAAATACGTCTCTATGAAGAGTCTCTCCATGACTCAAGGTATGTTAAAAGCCACTGATCTAAAATCTTAAAGTACCAATCAACCAAATCTGACAGCCAAGAGAGGGGAAGTGGGAAACTCAGCCCATAAGAGGGTAACCCAGAAGAAACTTAATTTACTTTGATGAGTTAAATACCACATAGTTTTTAAATTATTGGGTAGAGAGCTCAAAATATTAATATGTCTTCTGGTGAATATATACAACCTATCTGCTGGGTTTTATATACTCAGGTGTAGAATTACTAGGTCATAAAGTATGAAGTTCATAAAGTTCACCTTTACAAGATACTGCCAAACAGGTTTCCCAAATGGTTGTATCAATTTACACGCCCACCAGCAACACAAGAATTCCATAACCTTCAACTACTTAAGTGACAAAGTCAAAATCCAATGTTCAGTCTGTACCTTCACTGTCCTTTTAAAATCAAGGTATCATTGATCAAGTCCTAATGGTAACTTACCTTCATATTTCTGACCCACATTTCCAACTATTGAAAATGTGGTTTTGGTTACCTCCACTACAAACCACAATCACCCCAAAAAATCTACAATTTCTTCTGATTTCCTCTACCTCAGCGAACAGTACTGCCGCTTCCCTAGTAACTTAGACAGCAAGCCTCACTCTTTATGTGCTTCTCTATTGTCCTCTGAAATCCAGCCACCAAATCCTAACCATTCCACTTCTATGTCTTTCATTAGCTACTTTCTTTTCATTTTCACTGTGACACCTAGATTTCTAGAATATCCTAAAAACTCTCCCAATTCAAGTGACCATCACTGCCAGGAGAAGACTCACAAAGCACGTTGGAGCGGCAACCACCCCACTGCTTACGGCGAACAAGCCCCAGCTCTTTGGCATGGTCGTCCAAACCCCAACCGCTCCCTGGCCCTACTTACCTCAGCTTCATCTCTTAGTCTCATAGTGCTCTCCCTTCATCTTGCCATAAATGCTACTAGCCACATTGGACTATTCACCTTCTCACACATGCCCAGGCTTCACCACCTCATTCTCTTTCAATGGGGTGTTCCTTCCATTTGAAATTTCTCATGCCCCCAAAAGATTACTACCTGTTGAACCTCTACCTCAAAACTGACCTACTGTGTGAAATCCTTCTGCTACCCACTTATGTAAAAGTTATTTATTCTCTAAACTCCAAAAGCTTTTGGTTTGTGCCTCTTATCATGCTAATCACTGGGTTTTGTATTCTTGTCTTACCCTCTT